TTGCGAGGAGGAAAAAAAGTTGTGGAGGACGATCGATGGAGAGGAAGCGCGTTGCCAAACCATTTCCAGATGTCTAAAACATGTGATGAACATGCTTCAAACATGTAAACGGTATGCTCAAGCAATGCTCAGAACATGCTTCCTACATTTGTTAGACACATGTTTACATTCAATGATAGGACTGTAAGGGTGGCCATCGTCGTGGCATCCACAAGCCTAAGGGCGTGTACCTTTCAAAGCCTTGGCCCTCGCCCAGATGAGGATCTAGGCGGCGAGTGGCGGGGCAGGCTGCACTGCCTCTACTTCACCCGGCTCCCCTGTTTTCACAGTCCTCGTCGATCATGGATTGGAAGGCGCAAAGAGAGAGGACAGGCGGCGGGGCTTCGGGGAGGGCGCACGAGAAGCTCCCCAGAAGGCCATCGCCCGCCAGAGCCTTGTGCGAGAAGGCACCGCCTATGCCTAACCCCCCTCCCGGTGCGACGCCGACGGGCACGGTCCATCCTGGTCCGATGGATCTCCGATTCGACGTCGGCTCCGGCCGGCCGGATTCGCCTCGCTCCCGCCTCCGGGCCGGTGCGGTCCGATCCGATGCGCGCTGCGACCGGGTGCGGTGCCTCGATACGTGTTGCCTGCTTAAAACAGGGCTATAGGATCGGGATAAATCGCTCCAGAGCGTTCCGGAGCGCTCTCAGAGCGCTCCGGAACGCTCTGGAGCGGCCGCGGCGCCCAATACATCCTCCAAACCCGCCGATTCTCAGAGATTTCGAGTTATCCCGATCCGATTTTGTCCCGATCTTCGTGTCGTTTTAGCCCGCTGGCAGGTGAACGTGCAGGGAGAGGACCAGAAGAAGCTCGACGTCATCACCAACGAGGTGCTGAAGAACGCCCTGCGGTGCCCGCCGCGCGCGGCCCGGGGTGCGGCGGGAGGCCCGCGCGCGCGCGCGCGCTCCGTGGCAGCCTCCTGCGTCCAAGAGATAGCTTCCCCGCGCGCGTGTGTGCGTGTGCGTGTGCCTGTGCCTGTGCCTGTGCGTTGGCGTGAGTGCGTGTGTGCGTGTGTGCGTGTGTGCGCGTGTGCGAGTTCGTGTATTTGTGCGTATGTGTCGGCGTGTGTGCGTGTATGTGTGCCCTTCTGCGTAGGCTCTGTCTGCTCTGCCCTCAACGCGTAAGTCGGGCGTGTCCCTCTATAGGAGGAAGATTCAAAAATAGTAGAAAATGGTGCGGGGACGATTGTTTGAATATTTCTGTTGGTTTTGCTTGATGTTGTTTTGAGTATTTTCAATGTTTCGCCCAACATCAGCCTGTAAAGACCAATATCTGAGGAATGATCAAGATACCGTTCCGACTTTCTAGCCACAAGCGTCTGTAGACACATTGGGTGTCGTTACGCACGCAGAGTCACTCGTGGTGGATACGTCTATAGACAACGCGGCCGCTGCGTTCCTTTCCAAGGTCGGACACAGGGTCGATCCATCTACGGTATGTTCCTGTTCTGAAGCAGGTTCCACACGGTAGTCCAATACATGCATTTCATTGTGTTGTACATTTTATGATTGTACTTGCAACCGCCTGCTGGTTGCCCCTCATGGGCACAGGCTGTGTGGCAACCTGCGCAGCGCGACTTGCTGATGCCCTCGCGGAGTTGGCCTGGCCGACCGCGAGGCCAAACGCGCTTGACCGTGGAGAGGGCCGCCTCGGGCGGGGCGGAGTCGACCATCCGCATGTGCATGGCTTCGAAGGAGTACAGTCGGGGCCCTGAACAAGGAACCCTTTTCGTTGGGGAGGGGCTCCGCGTTCCTTAAGTGTTTCACAGCTTGCCTCAGGCTTTCCTTATGTCTTCGACATGAAATCGAAAGTTAACTTATGGACAAAAAGGGGGCTCGTTCCTTATTTAGGGTTCCTTAGGTCAGTTCCTCAGGTTCCTTTGCAGCCGCATATGCATACACTTCGCAACTCCGCACGGATCTTCTGGATCGGCGCCGGGCCCGAGATCTTGCAGTAGTGGCGGCTGCTTCCACCGAGGGGAGATGTACTCGAAGAACACAGCACTTCGATGCTCGTTTCGGGGACCTTCCTGGAGCCCACCTAACGGATCTGTTCGACCCCAGTTCGACTCAGGTTCGACTCAAGTTCGACTCAAGTTCGACTCAGGTTCGACTCAGGGTCGACCCAACTCGACTGACGCTCGACGCAGCTTCGACGCACGAGTGGAGCGAGTTTTTTTTGCAATCCTTCGTTTTTTTGCAATCCTTCGAAAACAGTTTTTTTTGCAATCCTTCGTTTTTGTTGCAATCATTTGGTTTTATGTTCATGTCACTTTTTGTTCCCCTAAAGTACCAACGCCTGGCCAGGGCCCCGCAGCCCCGCAGTCCAACAGCACGGCATCCGCATAATTTCTCTCGGCTCCGCACGGATCTCTCGCATCGGCGCTGGGCCCCCCTGGCGGCGCCTCGGGCGCCGCCCTCGGCGACATGCATATACACACACAAATACACATATAGAAAGCCCGTTTTGCCTTTGGGGTTCTCGACAAGCTGAAAACGCATAAAAGCACGCGACGGTGCTTTAGCGTCTTGTTGTCGTTTTTCTTGGCATTGTTGGGCCCGTCTCTGTAGACAACCATTTTTTTAAAGCTTTTTTGATTGTTTCTGGTTGAAGGCCGTTCCTTGTCTCCCCTGCTGCCTTCGCTCCCGGTCGTGTCTGCCGCCGTTCTCCGTTCCAGAGCGAAGAAACGTCAGAAAAAAAACACGCTCGAACAACACCAGCCCGAAACAGGCCCAGAGGCCCCGATGGCCCCAGGAGGGGCAATCGGCCATCGGGCCCGCCCGCCAGACAGCACACCAGGAGAAGGAACTGAGGACGTCGTACATGGCAATGTTCACGATGCAACCGACGGATCCGGAAACTCGTAAAAAAAACGTAGCTGGCAACGCAAACACATGATTCGTGCATTAGCGTTTTCCGTTTTCTTGCTGGGAACTGGAAGCGTGAAAACAATGATTTCCCAAACGCAGTTCTTTTCGTTTTTGCTTTTTGGCATGAAAACACGCCCTGTGCATACTGCACCCAAGAAGAACCAGGCCCTGGCGCCCTCCGCGCGCCAGGGAGGGGTTTCTCAGCGCCGATTCCAGAAACCTGCGTGGAGATCTGAAGTTCTTGTTGATGTCGTTGTCGCTTTCCCTGATAGCACCCTTCTGTCACCACCCACCAAACCACCCCAACCCAACCCGAAGGCTCAGATTTACCCTCGATTTCCAGTGGGGGGGGTGTCGGGAAACATCGAAAAAACACATGTGGAACCCTTACCCCCCCAACCCGAAATTCGGGTCTTCGGGTTGGGTTGGGGTGGTCTGGTAGGTAGCCATTATGGGGAGGACGTGGCCGCAACGGTCGCCAAGGGGCGGCTCGAGAGTTGAAAAGGGGGGATGCAGGTCCCCAGTCGGCGGCCCAATCCCGTTCCATGTTGACGCTCCGACGATCCGCTGCGGCCCGATGCTCGCCTTGCGCTGGTGTGCACCCTGGCGCACTCGACCGGGCGCAAGTAGTCCGACTCCGCGCCGGGGCTGCCAGATCCAGCGCATGGAGCGAATCGACCCGTTACCCCGATTCGATCCTGGCTGCTCTTGGGGCAAGGGAGGAGAGAATGCAGGGGGATGTGGAAAGGCGGAGGGGGAATGGGGGGATGGGGCGTGGGGAGCGAGCAAGACGTTGCTCGGACGCCAGGGGAGAGGCAGAGGCACGGGCCTTGGCTGGTGTGATCTTCTTCCTCCGCGCTGGCGAACGAGATCAGAGCCAGGGCACGCGCACGCTGGCTTGGCGTGCAGAGGAGGGCAAACAGGAGGAGGAGGAGGAGGAGGAGGAGAAAGTGAGAAGGGTGGAAGGGATAATGACTGACACCGACGGGGGGCGTGGGGGGCGAGGAGAGGGGGGACAGGGAGGAGGAGGAGGAGGAAGGGGAAGAGGAGGAGGAGGAGGCAGGAGGCAGGAGGCAATTGGCAGGAGGCAGGAGGAGAAGGAGGAGGAGGAGGAGGAGGACGAGGAGGAGGGGGAGGAGGAAAGAACGAGCAGAAAAAGGATGATCACGTGGGCGAGGAGCAGGAGCTCTGCAGGCAGGAGGGGGAGGAGGAGCAGCACCAGGCGGAGCAGCTGGAGCAAGACTAGGAGCAGGGGCAGGCTGGCTGGGGTGACCGCTTGGGCAGCGTTCAGATCCCTGGGCACAGACGCTTGTAGTGAGGAGCTGCGTGCAAGCAACCCGCCGAGTCCAAGGCTGCCCTTGCGTCCTTGCCCCTTCGGCCCACAGCGGCTTTCGCTGGCCAACCTCGTTCGACAAAAAACAATAACATGGCCCTCCAAGGCTCGGAGGTGGACAGACCTCCTACCCTGACACGTCGATTAAGGAATTGGCCGTTTTCGGTTCGCGAGAGGGCGTCGCGGCCGTCATTTTTGCGGGTCCAGATCCGTCGGTTCCGGTCCCAGGCCGTTTTCACTAAAGGGAGGTTTACTAAAGGGAGGTTTGTCCACCGCCGAAAGGCCCTTGCGTCCTTGCCGCACATTCTTGCTTTTGTCAAGCGGGTTGACCGTACCACAGTGCCTCCAGGTGAGCAGGTCCAGGGCCACCGATGGTGCGCCTGGACAGCCCACGAGGGAGAACCCAGAGGCCATCCAGGGTGGGATGGGCCGGCAGAGAGTCCGCAGCTTAATTTCGGGAGCCTCGAGACGGTGGTAAATGCAAGCGGGGGTCGGCCAGGGCCCCGAATCCTGCAGGATCTTGCGAAGACCCCCTCTGGCTGACCCGGTTTAGCGTACCGCTCGTGGCCGCGAGGCGGCCGCGCATATTGGCTGACCTGGGTTTGCGAAGACCTGCGTTGCAGTTCTTTTTGTCCTGCTTTGCATTTTTTGGGGGGGTTCCTGCTGACCCGGGTCTGAATTTGACACGGGTCAGAAGATACCCGAGAATTGCTGCCGGTCTCACCGTGTCCCCCGGCGCCCGTCACAAGAACGGCGTGTGCGAAGCACCACTGCAGACCGAGGAGGAGGAACGAGGAGGGGGAGGAAGAGGACGCTGACGAGGAGGAGGAGGAACGAGCAGGGGGAGGAAGAGGACGTTGACGAGGAGGAGGAGGAACAATTATCTGATGGTGAGGGGGGGGGGACAAGGGGCAGGAAGTGGAAACTGATGACGAGAAAGAGAACATCGAAGAACTCGAGGAGGCGTACACATGGATTAAGGCGTGCAGAATACAGACGAGCCCCGCTTCTGTGCATAATCGGCGCACTTCGTTGCCAAACCACGCGGCGGTAGCCTAATGATTCGGCGGGTAGTTCCCGCAATTCATGGAACTGGCGCCCTCGAACCTGATCACCAGATCCGTAATCCGTGTTAGTGTCTGCCCTAAAAAAAGAGGAGAAACATGAGGTCGAGGATGGAGTGACGAATCGGTCGAGGCGCACGAGGGTGATACGGCCAAGTCGTTGCGCCTTGGACGCCGTGCGCGATGAGCCCGGTGGGAGAAACTGCGAGGTACACCGGGAAGCTTGGGACACTGGCGTCCGAGGAAGAGGACATACCCGTGGCCGTGGATGATGATATGAACGATGAGTTCAACACCAAGGCAAGGCGCGTTGATACGAGCCTCAGTCCAAGAGTTCAGATGCTATTGTTATATTGTTTGTGGCATGTCGCTTGCGACCACACGTTGACAGACCTATCAATATCCGAGTGCTCTTTCTCTGTCTTTTGTTGTCACGTTGTTCCGAAGCATGTCTGGCAGATTGCCTGATCGCTTTCAGGCTTGTCACAGTGCAATGCGGATGGTCAACTGTTTGCAACCCAGCTGCCAGCTTGATGGGGTTGAGAGAGGGACAGGATGGGGGATGAACCGAGACGCAGCAGGGAAATCAGGCGGATGAGTTGGATGAGGAGGACGAGGAGGTGGAGAGGGGGGGAGAAGGAGGAGCGGGAGGGAGGGAGATAGAGGAGGAGGAGGAGGCGGAGCAGGGGGAGGAGGAGGAGGAGGAGAAGGAGGATGGGGAGGAAGAGGAGGAGGAAGAAGAGGAGGAGCCGTGGCACCCCCTGGCGGGTCAGAGCGAGGCCCGAGAGGCCCCGCGAGCGGGCCTGGATGCCCACATGTTGCTCCCACCTGCGGGCGGGGGCAGAGCCGCGCGGTGAGAGATATCACGGCGGCTCGGACCCGCCGCGGCCCTGCCGCCTCGAGAGAGCGCGAGCACGGGGAGAGGCGGAGGCATGACAGTTCGAGAGAGATTTCTCCAGATCTCGTAGTAAAAGGGAGGGGGTCTGGACCCTCCAAGGCAAGCCACTTCAGACCCCCCCCCCGTGGGAGAACCCTCCAAAACATCGTCCCCAGGCCCCCCCAGGCCCTCCAAGATAGCCTGGAAGAGACCCCCCTCCCTTTATTACGAAATCTGGAGTACTGAGTGTTGCGCGAGGTCACACAGGGTGGAGGACAGATGGCGTGCCTCCACGGGTGGTGGGCCTGTGCTGTGGTGCCCACCTCTGGTTCGTGAAGATTTCATGGTGCCGCGTCGTGTCGACCGGCGGCGACCCCGCCGCCGTCGCTCAACGTTGAACGCCACCCGCGACCCAGAATCGGTTTATGTTGAACGATCGGACGTTTCGGGAACGGAAGATCGTTCAAGGTTGAACGATCCCCGCGGTGTCGGGAACCAACGCTGGGGTCGGCACGACGCGAACCTGCTGTACCTCCACGGGTGGTGGGCCCGTGGTGCCCACCTGTGGTTCGCGAAGAGCTTCTGGTGTCCTCCCGTGCTCACCGCATCCCGTCCGCAGGGGCCTCGCACATCCCCCCAAGGTGGGGAGCTGGGCGGACTGGCCGCCCCCCCCCACCCCCCCCATGGCGTTGCGCGTGCTACGCCAGGGGGCGGTGGGGATTTAGGACGAGGCGCGCGGATGGGCGACGGCTCCCGTTCCAGTGCAGGATCTGGTGGCGCTGGCCTCCTGGTTTCGGGGGTGCCTTCCCGTTCCGTGGATCCTGCGCCCGCGCGCCACATCCGAGAGTCCGAAATCTTAGGATGGAACTCGCAGGCTGAATTCAGTTTCTCAGGAGGGGAACAAAAACACACAGACACCATTAATTTTCGATTCCCAGGAAAATTTGGAAAAATATGGGAAGGGGGGTAAAGACAAAAAATACCCAAAAATATTAGAAGATATGGGGAATCCAGTTATTTGTCTGTATTTGTTTGTGTATCCCAGGGCCCCTTCAGTTTCAGCGCTGGTGCACCCGTGGTCGAAAACCGGCCCAATCCGGTATGATCCCACGTGATCTCGTTTGATTCTGAACGCTTCGCGTAACCACACCAGCCCATCCAGAGACCATGCCCAGGCGAGTCGCCCTGATCAGGGATGTGGAGGGTCATGCAGTGGCAGAAAGGGCTGGGTAAGACGTCGTACCCCAAGGGGGGAGGACGGAGGAGAATGTTGAGGAAGAGCAGGTGGAGGAGGAGGAGGAGGAGGACCAGTGCAAACCCAAGAGTCATCAACGACGTTGGAATAAACCCTCCCTCCAAGCTCCCTTCTCCTAGGCCCCATACAGCGGTTCATTTCCACTGAGGGAGCGGAAGACCCTGAAGCATGCCAAAACATTATCCTCGGGATTCCAACGCCTCGGATCAACCTGATTGTTGCGTCTTATTGATCCTGAATCTTACCAGAACGCCATTCTTGCAACACAGCGAGTCAACGTAACTGTTGCGCCCTCATAGTCCTGAACCCTTCCCAAACATCTTTCCAGTACGCTGACCATGGGAATCCGTCCAATTCCTGCAGATTTCGAATACGAATGTGCGCGGCGCTGGTGCGAGAGCCATATTTTGAAAAGAAGCTGCCCTCATCCCGTGAAGCTCTTGCAAATGTTTGAGCGAATGCGCTCGGCGTGTGCGCCGGCAGCCTCCCCGTGCGCCGCGAACCGTACGGCGGATCGGGTGCTGACAGTGGCAAGGGCGCTGATGTTCGCGTGCCGCAAGCTCAGACCGACGCCGAACTCCCGTCAGCCACTGCCGATGATGCCGTTGCTGCCCCCTTTGCTGTCGCGTCGAAGGAAAGGGCGAAGACCTGTGGCTGGACAGTGCATGGTGGAATGTTTGATGGATGGCGACGGCCCCGAAAAGGCTACGCGGCCCAAATTCTTTACAAAAAACATCAAACACATTTTGAAGACCCCCACGCTGCCGCTGGACACCCGCCCGCGTCGAGCTCTTGGGGCCGTTCGGGAGCGCACCGCGAAGTCGAGCAGGGCCGATGCAGGCGAATTCCCCGGGCCCGAGGTCTGGCCGAGACACAGAAGGATCGCCGCTGAAGCCTTGGGCGCGGGGATGCGGTCGGCAGTGGAGAGTTCGGGCTCTGTTCGGACGTGCGTTAAAGACCCGGGGTGTAACCTCCTCCTCCTCCTCCTCAGCCTCCTCCTCCTCATCCTCCTCCTCCTCCTCCTCCTCCTCCTCCTCAGCCTCCTCCCCCGGCGGGGGTCGGGGCCGCCCCGGCCTGGCGGCGCTCCCCGGGTGCGGAAGGGCGGCGCGGCGGACACCGTGCCGCGGCAGCATGTGATGGCGAAGGGCTCCCCGCTCTCGCCGCGAAGTGCCCCTCGCTCTCGCCGCTCGCTTGCCCTTCCATCCATGCTTGCATCGCACACTCTGGTGGATAGCTCGGCTTGCACGAGGAAACGTCGGGAGGCAACGCGGAGCTCTTGGAATCGGGCAGTGGTAAACCATCGCGAGCAAGTTGCTACGATCGTTTTTGGCGGAACTCGAGCATGCATCGAGACGGGCCAGCCCGTGGTCAGCGCGGCTGAGGACGTGGCACAGCCCATGGACGTGGGCGATCCTGCCGATCCAATCGATAACACGACGGAGCCGGCTCTCGCTGGGCCGCCCAGCGCTGCTGGGCATCGGGGCCGCCGTTGGCTCCACCCTGCGGGGGCCGCATGCGGACCCTACCCCTACCCTTATGTCGGGCGTGTCCCCCTACAGGGGGATGTTCGACGAAAAATAGGAAATTTCCAAAAATACTCCAAACATTTCAAAGAATACTCAAAAAAAGTCCCCAGACTATTTTTGGATTTTTGTTTATTAACTTGTTGGATATTTGTAATTTTTCGTCGAAGTCCCCCTGTAGGGGGACACGCCGGACTGAACCCTACCCCCCACGATTTTTGAGGGGGAGGGTGGGTTCACTTTGTTCGGGCCCTCCCGAGCGATGTGAGCCCCACCCTCCCCCTCAGCAAGTCGCAGGGGGTTAGGGGTAGGGTTCGCATGTTGCCCCCCCAGCAGACTTCATCCTCCACCGCCTGCTCCTGGCGTTCGTCGGTCAGGTGGGCCAGCTGCTCCCAAGCGTCGTGCTCCTAGGCGCGCTGGTCTTGCGCCGCCGCATTCGGTCAGGCGTCTGGGCGAACCCTCGTCGATCCAAGCAGGTGCACTACTGGCGGCGGAGGCGCTATCCGCAGAACGCCGTCAGACTGCAAAGCTGTAAGAACAGCGCGACCGAGCTGGAACTGGCGACTGGGCGATTGGGACCGCATTCGGGACCATTCCGAGGTCCGCGGCTGGCGGGCATTCCCTTGGAGCCAGGAGCGGGTGGCAATCGTGGTCGAATCGAGCGCACCACAGGCGGATGCTGCCAAGGAAAAGGGCTGGGCAGGTGAAGATACGAGCCGTCGTCGGCATCTGGCGCGCGAAAGCAATTTCTCACGCTTCGGATCTGTGATCGAGATGTGCGGCTTAGCTGTTCACTGATCGAGATCTGTTTACTTGTTCCCAAGGATCACGGCGAAGTTCCAGATGAATAACGAAGAGGGGCGAGGGAGGAGGAACAGGCGCATGAGGAAGAGGAAACGGAGGAGGAGGAGGAAGAGGAGGAAGAGGAGGAAACGGAGGAGGAGGAAGGGGGCGAGCACAAACAACAGATGCCTCATGGATGCCCCTCGGAGTCATTTCTGTTTTTTTCGTTGTGGCAGTTTGGAGTTCTCTTGTAGTTTTCTTTTTGGGGCGTCTTGGAGGTATCTTGGCAGTCTCGGGGGCCTTTTGAGGCGTCTTGGGTGCCTCTGGGGGGCCCTTGGAGGCCTCTTAAGGGGTATCTTGGGGGCATCGTAGGGCCTCTGTGGTGCCCTCTGGGCACCTCTTGGGGCTGTTTTGGGGTACCCTTGGGAGCCGGGCGATTTTGGTGCCACTTTGGAAGGAACCGGTGAAGGGTGGGGGGGGCGTTAATCAGGGTCCCTCCCCAGGAGGCCAAAATGGGGCCAAACCCGAAGTACACTTAATGAATGTGGCCTCCACGCCGAGGCCTCTAGGGCGTGTTGGGCACTTTGGGGGGAGGGGCCTTTGGGGTCCTCGTGGGGGTATCTTGCGTGCATTTCGGGGGCATCTTAGGGCCTCTGTGGGGCCTTTTCGGGGCCTCCTGGGCTCTTCGGGCCGTATTGGGGCTCTCTTGGGAGCCATCTTTGAGGAGATCGATCAAAGGATGGGGGCTCCTCAATTAGGGTCCACTAGTCAGAAGGCCGACATGTAGGAGTTGTGGGTTTTCTCCTTCTCCTATTTTTCCTTCTATCTCTTCTCCTCCTCCTCCTTTGGGCTCCTTCCCGTCTGCCTGGCCCCGGGCGGGGCGTGCTTTCCTCACACAGATGCCTTCTAGATCCAGGGCTCGTGACGATCCGATCGTTCCGATCCGAAGCCAATTTCCGCCGATCCGCTTCGATTCCGATGCTCCGGCGATCTGATGCGGCTCGATGCTCGGATGGCGCGGCCGATCCGAGGCAATCTCGGTTCTGTGCCGATGCGGTCCGATCCGACGCGTACTGCCGAAGCGATGTTGATTGATGTTGCCATCTCCTGCTCATGCAAAGTGACGCAAACACTGCACGAGCTTCAACTTTAGGAGGCCCGCGCGGATTTCTTGGATCGGCGTTGGGCCCCTCTTCCTGGCGCGGGGAGCGCGCGCCAGGGGCGGCGCCGGAGGCGCCGTCAGGTGACTCCAGTGCAGATCCAATAACTCCGCGCGGAGTTAGGAGAAGTTGTGTTTACGCCGGGTTTTGTTCTTCGAATATCCCTCTTCGGTGGAGGCAGTCGCCGATGTTCCCAGATCTTGGACGCCGTGGTGGGTCTGGGCCCTTTCCTTTTTGAGATTGTTTGTTCGCCCCGAGTCTGCTTGTCGTGAAGGTCCCAGGGCCCCGCGGGGGCCCCTGGGGGGCAACAGCGGCCGAACGTTGGGAAAAAAGTGCGCGCGGACCTCCTGAAGGCTGCAGCCAAGGCGCTGAAATAAGGACCGGTTTGGGTTCGGAAGGGGCTCGGGGATTTGGGTCGTTTCTTAGATTTATGTCGCGGGGTTTGCTTGTGGCCTAGGCCCATTGTGGCCAGAAAAGCCCTTTTACTCCTTATTTGGCGTTCCTTCTGGTAGTACCTGGACTGTATGAGAAATGGAGGGGGCGTGGAACATTCATAAAAAGTTTGGGGGAAGATGGGGAATCGTTGAATTTGCGTGGAGTTGGTTGTGTCCCCGTGGGCCCCTCGAAGCATCGCCCTCCAGATCGTCGGGGAGACGGGCTCCTACGTGTGCGTCTTCGACCCCCTGGACGGCAGCAGCAACGTCGACGCGGGCATCCCCGTGGGCACCATCTTCGGTGTGTTCAAGGCGAGGAGGGGGGGAGGAAAGATGATGATGAGGAGGAGGAGGAGGAGGAGGAGGAGGCGGAGGCGGAGGCGGAGGCGGAGGCGGAGGAGGAGTGAGGCGGAGGAGGAGGAGGCGGAGGAGGAGGCGGAGGAGGAGGCTGAGGAGGAGTGAAGAGGAGTAGGAGGAGGAGGATGAGTTGGAGGAGGAGGAGGAGGAGGAGGAGGAGGAGGAGGAAGAGGAGGAGGAGGAGAGAGGGGGCGGGGGAGTATGAGGAGGACCCCGAAGTTGACCAGTGGTCTATCCAAAAAGGCGGAAGCGGGCTCTCTTATATCAAGAAGGTGCCCGAGAATAACATTATGAAACGACGCAAGAATAGAGCAGCCAATGAGATACAAACCAAAATGGACTGGATCCAATCAAATCGAAGACGCACACGAGTGCACAACAAGTGAGAAAGCCCTCGCTTCACCTGAAATGTGTACGCCGTCCTTCGAAATGGCGCAGGCATGCAAAACAAGTGAAGAATTCCGTCCCGTCGTCTGAAATTCACGCCGTCCTTCGAATGGCGCTGCAAACATAAACAAGAGAGAACTCCGTCCGTCACCAGAAATGTACGCGCCGTCCTCCAATGGCGCAGGCCTGCAAAACAATGTGATCCGTCCCGTCACCTGAAGTTACGCGCCGTCCTTCAATGGCGCATCACAAAAGGTGTGTGAAATCTCTCCCATCAGCAAAAGAAATAAACGCCGTCACGACCCCACAACCGATAACATGATAATGCTACGTACTGTCAGCGCGAGCCCTGTCCCTGATGAGCTGCCGCCGAGCCTCTTCTCGGAATTGCTCAACATCCAAGGCTTGCTCGCTGCACAGCCGTATCGCCTCCTCCAGCACAGTTGTCTCTTCCTCGGTGAGCTCTTGCTCGGGCTCTGACCGCTCCGCGGCTCCAGCAACTCCACGAGGAACAGCATCAGCAGCGGCACCAGGAGGATCATCAGGGCCGCCCTCTGCTGCCACCTCGGCTGAGACCTCCACAGCGCTGGTGGCGATCGGAGTCTCCGCGGCCACATCGGCAGCGGGAGCAGGCTGCTCCGCTGGCTGCGCCGCCTCCGCCTCCACCACATCAAGGGCAGAAATCCCCCGCAGGGGCCCCGTGGGAGACGAATCGGCTTCGCCAGTCGCCCCAGCACCCAGCGCCGTGCGGAGCGCCTGGGCCAGGCCGCTCAGGCTCTGGCCTCGGTGGCGCTCGACCTCGGTGAACGCTCGCAGCAGCCGCCCAGCTGCCCGCGCGTCCGCGCGGCGGTACTGGGCCCTGCGCTCGGCGGCGGTCCGGTTCGGCCGGCGAGGGCGCCGCGCCGGGGCCGGCTCCATGCCGCCGCTGCGAGGGGGAGAGGAGCGAAGGAAGAGCGGGGGCGGCGCGAGGGCGCCCGTGGCGCGGGCTCGCAGAGCCCGCGGGCTCGGGCCGAGCTGGCGCTGGGAGTATGAGGAGGAGCAGGCGGAGGAGGAGGAGGAAGAGGAGGAGGAGGAGAGATGAGGCGGGGGAGGAGGGAGGGGGAGGAGGAGGAGGAGGCGGAGGAGGAGTGAGGAGGAGGAAAGATGAGGAGGAGAGAGGAAGAAGGGGAGGAGGAGGGGAAGTAGGAGGAGGAGGGGGTGGCGAGCAAGAGCGAAACACCATAGCGACCTCGACTTACTAGAGCTCCCGGGCGGGTTCGCACCGCACCCTCTCCCCCACCCCCCCATCAAGGCGAGCTGCACCGCCACGGTCGTGGGACCGCTGCGCTCGCGCTGTTGGGGAGGATGATGCGGAGGAAACGGTTGCGCAAGGGCTTCGGCCATCTCGACAAGGCAGACAGCAGCGTCGGGGCTCTGAATAAGGAGCCCTCTTCGTTGGGGAGGGGCTCCGTGTTCCTGCATCGTTTCACATGTTGCCCCAGGTCGTCCTTGGATTTTCGATGGGAAGCCGAAGTTGAACTCTTGAAGAAAAGGGGCCTCGTTCCTCATTTAGGGTTCCTTAGGTCAACGCCCCGACTGTAGCGTCGAGGTCTCGATGAGGATCAGAGGAGGAGAAGATACCGATACCTCTGCGCGTCCTGGAGGGTTGCTGGCGCCGCGGATGTGCTATCCGCGAAGATTTTGTCAGAATCCTTCCCGGGAGAGGACTGGTGAGCAGCGGTGCGGGGTGGGTTGTCCGATGGGTTGGGCGTGGTTTTCGGCTTTGACCTGTGCCCCAGGGCGTCGGTACTCGGCCTTGGTTTTGCCGTTGTGTCTTACGATGCAGAAGTCAGCGGGGGGACGCATGCAAACCCTGCCGCTGGGGCCTTCGGTGGAGCTTCCTATGGGTCCACGAACCGTGCGAGGGGTGTGCCAGAATGGGATGGGCATGCGGAGAGCAGAGGCAAGGGACGGGAGGAGGGAGGAGGGGGAGGGGGCAGCGGGACATGAGGTGAGGTGAGACGCGGGGCGCTGTCTCTTCAAAACGAGGACCCAACACCCCAGGATGGTTGGGGACAAATATAGATTCACAGTGCTTCGTGGCTTCACAAGCCCAAGCAACAACAACAAACCGTGCTTCCTTTCACCAAGGGCGCTAACTACTGTGTATGTTTCTGCTGTTTTGGGTCCGGGAGGCGCGGAGCAGGGTGCGGGCACGGGGGTCGCGGCGAGCACGTGGGTATAGAAACCAAAAAAAAGTGCTTCGTGGCTTCGCAACCCCCCCCAAACCCGACCACTACCAACATACACAGTGTTTCCTTGCACGATTGTTTGGTCTGGGACTTTGCGCCAACCTTTGTGTATTGTTTGCTTGTTTGGTCTGGGAGGCGCGGAGAAGGGTACTGGGACGGGGAGGGCGCCAAGCGCTGTCTGGTATGGGTTCTGTATTGCTACAGAGCGGAGGAGGAGGAGGAGGAGGAGGAGGAGGAGGAAGAGGAGCAGCATGAGCAGGAGGAGGAGGAGGAGGAGGAGGAGGAGAGGTGAGAATGAAGAGACAGGAAAACGAGGAAGGAACAGAGAAGCAGAGACAGGTATGATCCCAGGGGGGGCCACGGGGGGGGGCGACCATACACATATTCCTCTTCCTATATGTTTATAAGCCCGGGCGGGGCCCCCCCCAACAAAAACCGGACTTCCGGGATCTGGGTCTTTGGGACCCTCAGGACGGGCCTCGAAGCGGCCCCCCGGGCCTCGCAGGGCGTAGGGGGGTCATCGGAGACGTCCCCGAGACCCCCAAGACAGCACAAGAGCGCTCCAAGACTGACCGACGTGCCCTCAAGACGGCCCAAGAGGCCTCCAGGACGGCCCCAAAGAGGCCTCCAAGAGCACTCACAAGAAGGCCCCAAGAGGCAACAATCATTGTTTTTCTTTTGGTTTTTGGTGAATCTTGGGGTTCTCCTCGTTTCGGCTTCCCGACGCTCCAAGACGGCGGTCTTCTGGGCGTCCGAAGCACCCTGGGAGGCTCCAAAATCGCCCCACAACCATCCGAAAGGGCTTCCAGGCTCCAAACTCGCCCCAAAACGGCACAACACGGGTCCAAGATGGCCCTAGAGAGCCCCATGGCGGCCCAAGATGGCACCAAGACACCCTCCGAAGCATTCCAAATCGTGACCCGGTCGTTCAGGGAGACCGCGGTTGGAGGCAGGGTGGCCCGAGGAAGCCCCCACAGGCCCCCAGAATACGCCCAGGAAGCCTACAGAAGGCCTTAAGAAAGCATGAAACAATGTTTGAGAGGCCCCCAGAGGCTCTCCAAGGAGGAGCCTCCGCAAAAAAGAGCTGAGGAGGATGGGGAGAATGCGCAAGGTATGGCGAAAATCAGGAAAAAGAAGCATGGAGGAAGGATAACGAAGAACATCATTTTAGCGGCGATGCCGGAAACGGCTACACGGAGTTATCGCTAAATTGTCGGTTTGACCTTCTTACTATTCCGCCTGCGTACCAATTCTTTGCAGTCTTGCACACACATATATATACATTAATACATGTATATATATATATATATATATGTACAAGACTGCAGTGGCGCTTCGCCCTATGCACCTTGATCCTTGAAGTTTGGTATGCAGGCGGAATGGCAGGAAGGTCAAGCCGACAATATCGCGATAATTCGTTGTTGCCTTTTCCAGCATCGCCGCTAAAATAATGTTATGTGTTATCCTTCCTCCATGCTTCTTTTTTCATCATTCTCGCCATACCATGCGCATGTTCCACATCCTCCTCAGCTCTTTTTTGCGGAGGCTCCTCCTTGGAGAGCCTCTGGGGGCCTCACTAAAGTTTCATGCTTTCTTAAGGCCTTCTGGAGGCCTTTTGGGCGTGTTCTGGAGGTTCTGGGGGCTTCCTCGGGCCACCCTGCCTCCAACCGCGGTCTCCGTGAACGACCGGGTCTCGATTCGGAATGCTTCGGAGGGTGTCTTGGGGCCGTCTTGGGCCGCCATGGGGCTCTGTTAGGGCCATCTTTGACCCCTGTTGTGCCGTTTTGGGGCTCTCTTAGACTGCCTGGGAGCCCTTCCGGATGGTTGTGGGGCGCTTTTGGAGCCTCTCAGGCGGCTTCGAACGCCCAGACGACTGCCGTATTGGAGCGTCGGGAAGCCGAAAAGAGGAGAACCCCAAAATTCACCAAACACCCGAAGAAAAACAATGATTTTTGCCTCTTGGGGCCTTCTTGTGAGCGCTCTTGGAGTCTTTTTGAAGCCTTTGGGGCCGTCCTGGAGGCCTCTTGGGCCATCTGGAGGTCACGTCGGTTACTCTTTGAGCGCTCTTGTGCTGTCGTGGGGGTCTCTGGAACATCTCCGATGACCCCCTTTATCGCCCTAGGTGTGCTGGGAAGGCTTGGCAAAACGCCCTGCGAGGCCCGGGGGGCCGCTTCGAGGCCCGTCCGGAGGGTCCAAAGCCCCAGATCCCGGGAGTCCGGTTTTGGGGTGGGGAGGTGGGGGGTTTTCCCCCCGTCCGGGCTTATAAAAGTATAGGAAGGGGAATAGAATGCATGGACGTATAGACATGCGCCCATTATACATATATATATACGTACATGTAGTATACAAGTTTGTATGTATGTATATGTATCTTGGCCTATCGACAAATGTACATGTATACATACAGCTGTATGCTTGTATGTATATGGCAAACGGTCTTGATGCTCCGGTGGTGGCTCACTTTCCCGATGGGGGCTCTCTCGTGGGCTGAGTTGTGCACCCAGCGCGAATCGAAGATGACATCAGTCCCCCCAACCTCGCTATCCTCCGAGGGGTTGTAAAAAAAACACTCGTGTGGAGTAGTCGTGGAAGGGCGTCTGTGGGGGGGAGGGTGGCCGAGGGGGAGAGGGGGAGCACGCCGCAGGAGCCCGAGAACGGCGAGTGCGATATCGACTTGGATGGCGGCGATCTGGGCGAGGATGATAAGGCCCCTTTTCTTCGCTCCCCCCGTCCTCCTTGCTCTGCTCATCCTATCCTTCTTCATCGTCCTCTCCTCCACCTCCTCTCCTTCCTCCTCCGCCTCCGCCGCCTCCTCCTGCTCCCCCCGACTCCCCCCGATTTCCTGCTTTCCCCCGCCCTGGATGCGCCGGGGGCCGAGGGAGGGAGGGGACGTGGAGGAGAGCGAAGGTCTCCGAGCGAGAAGTGATGATAATGAGGCGTTCGCAGGTTTCAGGGCTCCCTCTTTTGTCCCGCGCGGCCAGCGGCGAGTGGCCGAGAGCCCCGTGGCCGAGGGACGCCACAGGCTTCATGATGCCGCGTAACGCATCCCGAGCCCGTCGTCCCGCGACCGTGCTCTCGTCCTGCAGCTTCTGCAGGCACAGGGCCCGTGCTGGGGGCGAGGACCTGCTGGACCTACACGATCCCTCTTTCTCCTCGTGCCTCATCCTCGATCGATCCTCCTCATCGGTCCTTGATCCTCGGTCCTCGATCGACCCACCTCGTCGATCCTCGATGCTCGATCCTCTCCCCTCGATCCTCGATCCTCGATCAGTCCTCCTGTTCCTGCCTCGCCCTCCTCGATGGAGACGGCTCCTGGGACGGCCCCGTGGCGTCGTGGCAAAGAAGTCCGCGCGCGCGCAGGCACGACGGGCGCGACCGCCCTCGGCCGCGCTCGCCGGCCGGCCCCGGGAGAAGTCCGCTCCGAAGAGGCGCCATTTCTTTGGGCGCCCGCGCCCCGTGCCTCCTCACCGCGGGCCCGCCCGGCCAGCTCTGGCTGCGTGTCTCCGGCCAGGGAGCGGCCCCCTCAAAAACAGGGCTATCCTCCATCTCCTCATCCTCCTCCACCCCCCCTCCTCCTCCTGTGCCTCCTCCTCCTCCTTCTCCTACTCCTCCCCCTCCTCCTTCTCGTCCTCTTTCTCCTCCTTCTCCTCCTCGTCCTCTTCCCCGCCCTAGGACCGGGATAAATCGCTCCAGAGCGTTCCGGAGCGCTCTCGGAGAGTTCCGGAGCGCTCTCGGAGCGTGCCGGAGCGCTCTGGAGCGGCCGCGGCGCCCACCACATCCTCCAGACCCGCCGAGTCTCAGAGACTTCGAGGTATCCCGATCCGATGTTGTCCCGAGCTTCAGCGTCGTTTTAGGCAGCCTTTTCGTTGGGGAGGGGCTCCGTGTTCCTTACGCGTTTCGCAGCTTGCCTCAGGTTTTCCCTAGGTTTTCGATGTGGAATCGAAGGTTAATTCTTTACGCTTCGCGTACCCCCACCAGCCCATCTCACAGCAGCAACTCTCGCGAAGCATGCCGACAGTCGTGTTTTTCAGGCGTGTGTCCGCTTGGCCCCGCATATCTCCCCTGTTCCTGCTTCCTCCCGCCTCCTTCTACATCCTCCTTGTGGGGGGAGCGGGAGAAGGACGAGGCGGAGGAGGAGGGAGAGAAAGCGCTCCTCGTGGTTTGAGTCGTTTGGGGTTTCTCGTCCTGGTGTGAGTCGTTCGGGCCCTTCTTCCTGGTGTGAGTCGTTCGGGCTCTTCGTGGTGTGAGTCGTTCGGGCTCTTCGTCCTGGTGTGAGTCGTTCGGGCTTCTCGTGGTGTAAGTTGTTCGGGCCCCTCGTCCTGGTGTGAGTCGTTCGGGCCCCTCCTCCTGGTGTGACTCGTTCGGGCTCCTCGTGGTGAGAGTCGTTCGGGGCCCTCGTCGTGGTGTGAGTCGTTCGGGCTCCTCGTGGTGTGAGCCGTTCGGGCGCCTCGTCCTGGTGTGAGTCGTTCGGGCTCCTCCTTCTGGTGTGAGTCGTTCGGGCTCTTCGTGGTGTGAGTCGTTCGGGCCCCTCGTCCTGGTGTGAGTCGTTCGGACTCCTCGTGGCGTGAGGCGTTCGGGCACCTCGTCCCCTTTGGGGGCGTCTTGGGGGAGCTTCAGCGTCGTTTTAGGCAGCCTTTTCGTTGGGGAGGGGCTCCGTGTTCCTTACGCGTTTCGCAGCTTGCCTCAGGTTTTCCCTAGGTTTTCGATATGGAATCGAAGGTGAACTTGTGGAACATAGGGGCCTCGTTCCTTATTTAGGGTTCCTTAGGGGCAACGCCCCGACGGTAGCAGCAGCCGGCAGGCAGCAGCGGCCAGGCCCGTGAGGTGCGTCCTCCTCGCGCCCGCTGCTGCCGAAGGCTGAATGCTGCTGCTGCCGCCGCTCCGTGCTCCGGCGCTCCCGCGCCGGCCTCGAGGGCGGCTGCTCGAGGCGTCAGGGGCTCTGCGTCCCTGGACGCCCGAGATGGGCACGGAAAGAACGGGTACGATGCCCAACAGCAGTTCCTGCTCATCCTGCACAGGACTCGCTGTCCGCGCCGCCGCGGCCCGTGCCCATTCGAGACAGAAGGCCGCCCGCCCAGCAGCGGCCGCTGCTGGTTCGGGACAGCACTTGTTGCTGGGCACCGTACCCACTCTTTCGGTACCCATGTCGGGCGTCCAAATCAGGGGCTCCGCATCCCTCCCTGCGCAGCTGGGCCTGTGCCCATTCGAGACAGAAGGCCGCCCGCCCAACAGCGGCCGCTGTTGGTTCGGGACCAACACTTGTTGTTGGGCATCGTACCCATTCTTTCGGCACCCATGCCGGGCGTCCAAATCAGGGGCTCCGCATCCCTCCCGGCGCAGCTGCTCGGCAGGAGCACCCTCCGAGGTCAGAGCCCGACTTGACCCGGACCCGAGTTGCCCCGGACAGCTCGGGCGCCCAGCGAGGGCTTCCTGGGAGTCGCGCCGCCCTGCTCCGCGCACGGATGCTTTACACACGAGGTGGGTCCGATGCGTTTTTGTCCCGTCCATCCTGTGTGTCGGGTCGTCGTCTTGAACCCGCTGCGCCGCGCGTCTCACCCCTTACTCGTCTCCCTCTCCCCCTCCACTTGCTTCTCATGTCTCCTTCTCCTCCTCCTCCTCCTCCTTTTCCTCCTCCTCTTTCTCTTCCTCCTCCTCACCCCCCCTCCTCCCCCTCCTCCTCCTCCTCCTCTTCCTTCTCATCCTCCTCCCTTCTCCTCGTCCTATTCTTTCTCCTTTCCCTGCCCTGGCCAATTTCGGCACATCCTTCGCGCGCTTCGTTTCGGCACACCCCTCCCACATGTCCTGCCTCCAGGGAGCTCCACCGAGGCTCCAGTGGCTGCGTTCGCATGGCGTCGCCCCGCCCATTTCGGCACACTCCATGACACATTTCCTGCCCCCCAGGGAGCTCCACCGATGGCCTCGGTGGGCGCGTTCGCACGGCGTCGGCCCCAGGGAGCTCCATCGAGGTCCTCAGTGTGTGCGCTCGCATGGCGTCGCCCCGCCCATTGCGGCCCATCCCTCACGCGCATCGTGCCGTCCGGGGAGCTCCTCCGAGGCCCGTAAGCCTGCGTTCGCATGGCGTCGCCAAGCCCGATTTCGGCACAACCTTTACGCGGTTCGTGGCCCCCAGGGAGCTCCCCCGATGCCCCCGCGGGTGCGTTCGCATGGCGTCGCCCCGCCCACTTCGGCACTACCCTCACACGTTTCCTGCCGCCCAGGGAGCTCGACCGAGGGCTCCAGGGGGGGTGCGTTTGCATGGCGTTGCCCCGCCCATTCCGGCGCACCCCTCACACAGTTCTTACCCCTCAGGGAGCTCCACCAAAGACCCCAGGGGGTGCGTTCGCATGGAGTCGCCGAGTCCGATTTCGGCACACCCCTTTATGAGTTTCGTGCACCCAAGGAGCTCCGCCGATGCCCCTGTGGGTACGCTCGCATGGCTTTGCCCCGCCCACTTCGGCACACCCCTCACACGTTTCCTGCCGCCCAGGGAGCTCGACTGAGGGCTCCAGGGGGTGCGTTTGCATGGCATCGCCCCGCCCATCCCGGCACACCCCACAAGCCTCTCGTGGCCCTCAAGAAGCGCACCAGTCGTGTCGTCGTATGTTGTTCCAGAGTTTCTGGCTATTTTCGGAATGGCGTCATCATCGCAAACTTACAACAGGTGCGCCCCGTTGTCATGCCGTCCTGCTCCGCGTCGCTTTCATCGTCATTCTCCCCACTGGAAGTCGTGAGACTGCACGCGTGAACGGGGGGCACTGTTCGCGGACTGACCGTCGTTGGCGAGGTTAGTTTTTTTGGTTGTGTTGTTTACCTTTTTACCTTTCTTGTCTATAGATGCATATGTTAAGATAGGGTTTGGTCTCTGCCTGGTAATTTTTTCATCCTGTTTTCAATCCGAGGGTGCTCTGTCCTTCAAACTGGTGCTCCCGCTGCAGCGTGAGCATGTACTATATGTCATGGTCGGCCGCATGCCTCCAAGGATGACGCACAGTACTTGTATGTCCTTGTGCGTTCCAGGGGGGCAAGTTAGGCGCGCTTGCGCCATATCTGACATCCGACTCCTCTCTCCCATCGCTTCCCACTGCGCTGATTCTCTATCCGTCGACGCGTGTCATGACCGACGTGGAACTCAACACAAGCAATATGCGTCGTGCCATGTGCAACTGGACAGCGGGAGCTGTGCACACAAGAGGAGGTGGTGGGTGAGCAGAAGGATGCGCAGGAGGGGTAGGAGGCGGACGAGGAAGGGGGTGGGCGAGGGGGGCCGGCGAGGGGATTAGGGAGGAGGAGGAGCGGGAGGAGGAGGAGGAGGATGAGGAGGAGGAGAAGGAGGAGGAGGAGGAGAAGGAGGAGGAGGAGGAGGAGGGGGGGGAGGAGGAAGCCACTGGCTGAGGAGTGGGGGGGCCGCCGCTCCCGCCCGCCGCCGCGCAGGGGCACCGTCGTCGCCCCCTCGCCGCCGCGGCGGCCTCCCCCCAACGGCCAGGGCTCAGGCGCGCCGCCCGAGCCGCAGGACAGCGGCCGCGGAGGCCGCGACCAGCCGCAGCCACGCCCAAGGAGGGCGCCTGGCATCGAAGAGCACGTGAGCGTCGTGCACAAGCTCGGGTGCTACTACGCCTCGCAGCAGCGCAGGACCTCCTGGGGAACCACCACAGCGCGCAGCAGCCCCAGCGCCACCAGCAGCACGCCATGGAGCAGAACTGGAAGCAG